ACATATTGCAGACCGTCATGCGGCCTTCCATCGACAGGCCCCGGACGACGTCTCCTGTAAACTCCAGGCAGTAACCGGTGCCGCCGGAGGTCGTGAGCTGGCCGATCAGGTAGAGGACCATGTCCTTGGCCGTGACGCCCGGGCCGAGCTGGCCGTCGACGCGCAGCTCCATGGTCTTGGGCTTTTGCTGTAACAGCGTCTGGGTCGCCAGGACGTGCTCGACCTCGCTGGTGCCGATCCCAAACGCCAGCGCGCCGAACGCGCCGTGCGTGCTGGTGTGGCTGTCGCCGCAGACGATTGTCATGCCGGGCTGCGTGTATCCCAGCTCCGGGCCCATCACGTGGACGACGCCCTGGTTGAGGTGCCCGAGGCCGTAGTAGGTGATGCCGAAATCGGCGCAGTTCTTCGTCAGCGTGTCGATCTGCTGCTTGCTGATCAGATCGACGATCGGCAGGCTGCGGTCAGTGGTCGGCACGTTGTGGTCGGCCGTCGCGACCGTGCGTGCGGGCTGGCGGACCTTGCGGCCGGCGAGGCGTAGGCCCTCGAACGCCTGGGCGCTGGTGACCTCGTGAACGAGCTGGAGGTCGATGTACAGAATCGTCGATCGGCCGGCTTCGGCGTGGACGACGTGGTTGTCCCAGATCTTTTCGAACAGCGTACGGGGCGTGGACATCGGAGAACGCAAGCGGAAAGGGAGAGCGGCTGGGCAATGACGCCGGCGGCGCCGCAGGGAGCAGCGGCCAAGACAGTTAGTTTAAGGCGCCGGTTCGCCCACCGGTAGCTGCGGAAAAGCGAGAGTTCGGCGCCGCGCCGCGGATTTGGCGACGAGCCGGCGACGTAAGTCGGTGGAGGAATCGGGCCCAACTCCCCCAATTAACATCGGGAGCTCGCCAAAATGCTCAGAGCAGAGCGCCGCCGGTCTCACACGGCGGCGGCTTCAATCGCGGCGGCGGCCATCGCCTTGCGTTGGGGGCACGCTTTGCAGTTCCACCACTCGGCGGCGCGTTCGGGGGACCAGCCGTCCTCAAACTGCACGTCCATCAAGGCCCGGCGGAGTTCGTCCACCGTCTGGAAGCGGTGTTCGGGGTCTTTCTCCAAGCACCGCAACACGATGTCCTCTAGCTCGATCGGCAGCAGCGGGTTGTGCTGCCGGGGCGGGAGGACTTCCTCCGAGGCGTGGGCGATGATTACCTTCACCACCTGCTCGTACGGGAACGGCGACTTACCCGTTAGCAGGTAGTAGAGCACGCAGCCCAGCGAGTAGATGTCGCTGCGGACGTCGGCCTCCCGTTCGGCTGTCGCTTGCTCCGGCGACATAAACATCGGCGAGCCGGTCAGCGCTCCTTCTTGCGTGAGGAACGCGCTGGCGCCGTCCCCTTCGACAGCGACTGTTGGCTTCGCTAGGCCGAAGTCGAGTAGTTTAGCGACGTCGAACTCACCGCCGCGGTACGAGCAGAAGATGTTCGCCGGCTTGATGTCGCGGTGCACCAGGCCGATGCCGTGGGCCTCCGACAACGCGCGACAAACCTGGTCCATGAGGTAAACGACCCGCGACGGGGGCAGCGCTCCTTCAAGGTCCACCAATTCGCCCAGGTTGTGCCCCGGCAGATACTCCATGACGTAATAGAACGTCCCATCGGGCGTGCTGCCGTAGTCGAAGATATCAATCGAGTTCCAATGCGACAGCTTGGCGGTCGAGCGGACCTCGCGCTCGAAGCGGGCCAGATTGCGGCGGTCGCCCGCCTTGTCGGGGCGGATCACCTTGATCGCGCAGGGGCGCTTCATCATTTGGTGCTCGGCCAGATAGACCTCGCCCATGCCGCCCGAGCCAAGCTTCTGCTTGAGCCGGTACTGCCCGAGTTGTTTGGCGGCGAACGCCTCGTGCCGCAGCGTATTGATCGTGTGGACGCCGACGACCGCGATCGCCAGCGCAAAGAGCATCTCCAACGCATGCTCGGTGATGTAGTCGCTGTAGGCGCCGTGGACGTAGCAATCCTGGAACGCCGGGCAAAGCGCCTTCTGGAAGAGGATGACCGCGATCGGCGCGAAGGCCGCCGGCGCGAGGAATCGCAAGGCTCTCCGCCAGCTGTTCGGGACGAACAGAGCGTAAGTGAACAGCAGCAGCAGCCACGGCGCCACGACGTTCGGCAGGTGGGCGCCCTCCTCGAGTTTCGCCGAGTGATCGATCCGATTCTGAGTCACGAAAAGGAAGAAGACCGCGGCGCCGCCGAAGATCGCCCACTCAGCGATCCGGAGCGGAGTGAGCGTCAGCGACTGCGCCTTCCACAGCCAGCCGGCGATCGACCCGGTGAGCACCGTCGCCGCGCTGTGCACCCAGAACATGTGGCTACCGGCAACGCCGTAGGTGTGCTCCCAGTAGAACAAACCCCGGATGAGAAACGCCGCGTAGCCGGTCGCCAAGAGGGCCGAGGCGAGCAACAGCCGGCGTTGCAAGATGCCACGGGTCTCGCTGCTGAGGTGGACGCTGCCCCCTTCGACCAGCCGCACCAGTCCCCGGGCGGCAGCGCTGATGGCGCCAGAACCTCTCGATCCCGACTCCTTCGCGCCCGTGGCGGCTCCTGCGGTTGCGGAGTCCTCCCGGATCGCCGACAGCATGCTGATGGGGGCGGCGACGGTCTCTGCGTTCTCGATACTGCTTCCGATCACTACCGCGGCTCCCGATCTGGCCGGTCCCCGCCGAGGTCCGTTCGTCCTCGGCATTTCGGGTCCTGCAAGCGAGCCCCCCCACATACGGGGGCAGACCGACGCTAGCCAGTTCCCGTTGGACGCAACCAAATGGTAGTCGGTTCGCCAACAAACTGGCAGCGATCCCCCCGCCAAAAGCGTCGCGCTCGCGATACCGTGCGATAAGTCACACGATTTAGAGATCAAGCAGCGCGGCGAGCGGGCCGGGTTGCAGCCCGGGCGGAGACCTCCGTAAGCGGGATCGTCTGCCACTCGCCGGCGGCGTCGGCCGTCTCGCCCTCAGTGCGGCGGAGGACCAAAGTCCCGGGGTGACACATTCGCGGCACATAGAACCAGGCATGCGCCAGGGCCTCGTCGGTGGCGTCCCCCGACAGCAACAGGAGGTCGGTGTCCGACAAGCTATTGGCCTCGGCGGCGAGTGACGCCGCCAAGTCGCCGGGCGTCAGCCGCACCTTGGCGCCGGTGGCGATGAACCGCCGGTACACGCCCACCAACGGCGCGTCGGGCGTCCCCTCCGGCCGGGCGTCGAATAGGTCGAGCGCCGTGTACTTTACCGGGGCGTCCTTCGCCTGTTTGACGAGGACGTCGAGGAGTTGTGCCGTCGAATCGACCGAGTCGATGCCGACCTCGACGACGCGGCGGATGACGTGCTGCTTCGCGATGCGTAGCAGCTGCTTCTCCGGCGTGGGCGTCGTTTTAGAGAAAAACGCGCGTGCCGCGTACCTGAACAGATCGCCGACCGCCATGGCGCCTTCCGTGCGTGCCGATCCCGTGAATATCGCGTCCTTGCGACTACCTCATGGATCGGCCAACGGGTGGCGCCGGAACAGCAGAACCGCGGGCGTCAGCGCCGCGTCGTGCCGCCGGCTGACAAGACGTGACGCCTGCAGCGACATGGCGAGATCGATCGATTGGGCGGCGGTCAGCTGGCCGGGTCGTCGTCGTCGGCGTTGTGGATCGCAACGGGGATCGCCACCGCCGTGCCGATGACGCCGGCGAGGAACAGCGGGTTGGCGAAGAGACGCTTGGTGTGGCTTACCGTGCTATTGGCGACGGGGCCGGCGTAGTGCTGACCTCGGGCGATCTCGCTCCCTTCCACCAGCAACACCGCCGGAGTCGCGTTGGGAGGGGCCGCTCCGCCGGTCCAACTTCGTACTAAGAGTGCGGATTTGTCGCTTTCGAGGCGGGCGACTCCCCGCACGTTCTTGAAAGCAAAGCCGCCGTCGGCGTTGGTCTTGGCTTCCGCCTTGCGGCCATCGGCGAGCGTCAGCCGCACCGTCGCGTCAGCGCTGGGCTTGCCCGAGGCGCCGACGAGCTGGCCGATCAACAGGCCGTCCTTGTGCAACGCCACGTCCACCGCCAGGGCGTCGGCGGCCTTATGTTCGGCGGCGACGGCGTTCTGGGCCCGGGCGAGCGTCGGGCCCATGGCAACCGCCAAAGCCACGGCGCCGACCAGTGGACGGGACATCAAATTACGGCTACGCATCGAGGGCTCCGCTATCAATTTGTCATGGAGTGACAAGCGAGCGGGACCCTAGCGAACTCTCGGACGTCGGCAAATAGCAAACCCCGCCCTCCGGCGAACCGGCGGGCGGGGTTTGTGTTGTTCAGTCATCGCGAAGTCGTGGACGCTATCAGCTGGCCGGGTCGTCGTCGTCGGCCAGAGCGAGCGGCACGGCGATCGCCGTCGCGACGCCAGCGGCGACCAGCAGCGGGTGCTCACGCATCCAACCGAGAACGCCAGCGCCCTTGCTCGGCGTGGGCGGGCACGGCGCCATCGGAGGGCAGTACTGGCCGTTGACGACGTCGCCGCCGGTCACGATCAGGGCCGACTGGTTGGCGGCCGGGGGAGCGGTGTTCTCCGCCCAGAGACGGTAGGACACGACGCCGCCTTCGGAAACCACCTGATACAGTCCGCCACGCAAGCCTTGCACGGCGAACACGCCTTCGGCGTCGGTCGTCGTCTTGGCGACTTCGTTGCCGGCTTGTTGCAGCGAGACAGCAACCTTGGCGAGCGGTGCGCCCTGGGCGGTCACCACTTTGCCAACAAACACGCCGCCATTGCTCAGAGCGATATCGGCAACCGCCGGCGCCGATTCAACGATCGGGGCGCCCGCCAACGCGGGCTGAATCAGCATGCCGAAACACGCCATCGCCGCGGCGATGCGTTGGGCGACAACAATCTTCATGCTCGTCCTCTCTCCGTAATGACGGGACTCGTCCGTGAGGCGTTCGGTCGAGACCGAAGGAATAGTTCAAAGCTCCTGCGCAGGGCAGCAGCGTCAGAGAACATTTTCATCCACCACTGCTGCGATCGGCGAGCGGAAGCGACATTCTCCAGCTATTCCTGGACTACTTGTTCGGAAAAGTCACCGGCTGGCGCCAGCATGCTGGCGCGAAGCGCGCAACACGCGCGGCCAGGCCCGGAAATGCTCCGCAAACGCTGTTTCCGGAGAACCGAGCGTCGCGGCAAGCCGCTGCGACATCGGCGTTGGCGGCTCGTAACGCCGCAGCGCCGCCAGCGTTGCCCACAACTGCATCGAGGCGGCAGCCGGGCCGTGAAGGAGGAAGTGCGTCCACGCCCAGGCGTAGCGGTAATCAATGTCCGCCATCTCGGCGAGGTCGTGCTTGGCTTCGAGCGTCGTTAGCGCTACCAGCCGACCCCGCGCCGCCTCCGACACTACCCCTTCGAGATGATCCGGCCCATGAGCGCGGTCGGCCGGACGGGGTTCGAAGTACTCCGCCAACCCCTCGTCGAGCCACAACGGCACCATCGGCAGGTCGGCGTGAAGCAGGGCGTGCGTGCACTCGTGCCGCAGGTCGATCGCCAGCTCGGAGTGCCGGTAGGCGTAGATCACGGCCCGCTGCTTCGTTTGGTAATACAGGGCGCGCCGGTAGGGCGCCGTGGGGTGACGTTCGGCGATGTAGCGGCGGTGCTGCTGGGCGTCGTTGAGCAGCACCACTTCGACTTCGTTCTTGCAAGGCCCGAGCGCCAGGACCCGTCGCAGTTCGCGTTCGAGGCTCGCAAGGTCGGCGTCGGCCAACAACGCGTCATCCAGAGGAAACGCGGAGCGACAAACAAACGGACCGACGCGCCGTTGATCGACCCATGTCGGCTCGACCGCAGCGCGGGCGCGCGGTGAAACGGACCAGCCGGCGCCGGCGACGATCGCGGCGAGCGCCTGGCGGCGCGTTAGCGGCGTAGCGGCCGCGCGCCCCGCCATCAGGCCGCACCCCGAGAAAACAGCGACCAGCCCCGCCGTGGCTTACGGACCACAATCGGACCAGGAGCGACCTCACGGCCTTCAGCGACCGCCCGGGGGTTCTCGCTGCACCACATGCGGGCGGCGTCTTCACCGACGAGTTCGACCGCCCTCGTGTACGCCTCGCCAAGCCGTGGGCGGCGTCGTTTCGGGCTGTGCCCGTCGGTTGAGAGGAAGTGGATCAAGCCGCGGCTCGCCATCCGCTCGACCATCGCTTGGCTGTCGGGTCCGAAGCCGCCGACAAGGCTGCCCGCCGTCACCTGCATCAAGCAGCCGTCGTCGACGAGCGACTCGATCAAGTCCTGGCGGGCCAGCAAGCCTGCGTTGCGTTCGGGGTGCGAGAGGACGCCCGCCATGCCGATCCGCTTCAGACCGTTGAGCACCGGCTCCAACGGGAAGTACAATTCGTGCGGCAACTCGAGCAGCACGTGGCGGCGATGATCGCCGAGCGAGAGGACGTCACCCGACTGCAGGCCAGCGATCATGTGGTCTTCGATCCGCACGTCGGCGCCCGGCAGCACCCGCAGCGGGATGTCGAGACGCGTCAGTTCGGCTTGCAGCTCGGCCGTGCGACGACGGATGTCGTCGCCGCGATTGCACTCGAAGGCGCCCAACTGGTGCGGCGTGACGACGATCGTCTCGACGCCTTGCTCGACCGACATCCGCGCCATCGCCAGCGACGCTTCGAGGTCCGCGGCGCCGTCGTCAATGCCCGGCAGCAGGTGGCAGTGGATATCGACAAGGCCGTTCATCCTGGCGTGCTCCGTCGTGTCATCAGCGCAGGCGGCAAGGCCCCAACGCGCGGCG